TTTACGATAATGTTCTCGTTACATGGACTGTATTCTTGAAGCAATGTTTCATTTCTTGTCATGTGATCAAATGCCCTTGAGTCAATGATCCCAATATCTTGACTTTCTGAAATAGCATCAAAAGCACTAAAGGAATTACTTTTATGGGCTAATGTCCCAAATCTTACATTGTTATTGATGAAGTTTTAGTGTAGGTTGAATGGCTTCTATCTACTCTTTACTGAATGGGCATGATTCCTTAGTGGAGCCTATTTTATTAATAGAGGGATGATTTTCGTAACTTCTATTATCTGTTGCTGATTTTGTGGGTTTTAATTTAGCTGCTTTTCTATTAATTTTCTAGTAATTGTCTCCAGTATAACCTGGTTTCATGCAATGATCACACCAAGGTCTTCCTTTGTCGATTGTCTAAGTTAGGATGAGGGTCTTGTGCGGTCAAAGCAGAATTCTGCTCAGTAGTAAGGTTTGTGAATCCATCTCCCAATATTATCTTTTTTCTGCTTTCTTCTCGCCTTACTTTGGAAAGTACCTCATGCATACGAGGTAATGGTTTCATTTTAAATATTCTTACACAAACTTCAGTCAGATTTTTATTCAATCCCATGAGAAATTTGGAAAATATTTTTCTTCCAAAAGTTCTCTGTACAGTTTTGTATCATTTGGACAGCTCCATACAAGTTCCTTAAACACATCAAATTATTGGCAGTAATGGGTGAGCACACCGTAGTACTAGATTACTGATAGATCTCCTTGTTGTAGTGGATGCTAGATTCAACAGAAAAAATTTTTTGAAGTGTTTTATTTTGCTCGAATAGAATTCCTTGACTGCTTCTCACATTTCGTGTGTCGTCCTATATCACAAGAAATTCTCACCAATATCATGTCATTAAGTTAATCTACCACGACATAACCAGTCATTCTCAGCTTTCTAGGTTGGGAACTTAGCGTCTTTGGCACTTGGTTGGGTCACTTCTCTAGTAAGGTATTATTCTCTCCCTCTTCTATAGATAAACATCTTTGACCAATTGAGATTATAGAATATAATTACTTCCATTTAACTTGTGGTTGGTGATCGGAATTTTAGTGGCTTCAGTTTGATGGGAATAATTTTATCAAAATGAGATGTGACTTCAAAGAGGTTATTAGTTTTTGCTGTGGTCATTCTGTTTTTAGTTCAGCAAGAGAGAGAAAAAACAATGTTTTTTTAAGGGTTCAGAGATTCTGCTTTGATATCGCAAAAGTTTGTATTAAATTTTTTGTTATTGAATTTTTATTCATTATATTTAATTTACAACAATTGAATATCTATTGGAGAAGATTAGAGAGGTTTTTAAATACAAATTAGTCCTATAAAAAAAAAGATCTTTCAGTTCTGGAAGTTAGTTGTAATTCTACTTTATAGGGAGATTTTCTTGAAGATACTAATCTGTATATAAACTAGACTTTTACAAAAAGTCAGATTCTTACAACACAAATATCTATAAAGGTTTCAAAAACCCCTGCAGAAAGAATGGAGTGACCTCTATACCAAAAAAAAAGAAACTTAAAGTCCTGAACCAATAGTCTCTTATATTAACAACACAAGAGACTTTGTCCCAGAAGATTCAGCTTGTTCTTTATGTGCATAAAACCCACATAGTAACCAACGGGAGAAGCAGATTTGATTCTTCCTTTCCCTTCTTTTTTTTTTTTTTTTGAAAAGATAGATTCTTCCTTCCCTAACCGACAAAGATACTATTTCCAAGCCCAGATGATCTACCACTTAACTGTTGATGGCCCAAAAAAAAGGTTAAGAAAAGAGAGAGCAGCATCTCATAATCTTCTCATCTCAGGACACCAAAGAAGAAGATGGTTGGGGGATGCATTCTCTTGGAGGCAAGGTGGGCATCCATTGACAATGATTTTACCAGGCCATGAATTATCCAAAGTAAGGATTTTGCCTAAAACACTTCCCACTAAAGAACGATACATGGGTTGAAGTTTTCTTCTTCCAAATATGTTCTAAATCCAAAGGCAAGAAGAGGACTGGGAGAAAAGATTGAGGTAGAATAAATTACCAACATTTTGAAAGACTCCAAACTAGCTTATTAAGGTATCATGAACCCAAAAGGAGATGTGAATGCAAGCCAATATTAAGGCGGTGAAGTCTTTGATCTTCCTGTCAATTATGGTTACAGAAAATGAGAGGTGTGGATAGGGATGAGGGCTGTGCCATGTCACATGGTCATAAACTGAGGCTCCTTAGTTTTAGCTAGCTGATAAAATCTTGGAAACACAATTCTAAAAGGAACATTCCCGCACCAATAGTCTTGCCAAAAGCTTGTGCTATGGTCATCACCAAGACACTAACCCAAAAGAATACCAAGTCCATTACCTGACTCCAGGACGAACTAATCTCCAACTATGAGGCCATTAATTTGTTAGTAGGTCATAATTACTCTCCTAATCAGTGGAAGAACTGTTTATCAATTGGATTCTCAGCAATTCTATGGTACTTTTCCCAATTTAAAAATATCAATACCTGCTAGATTTAGTTATTTTTTGTCATCATCTGGCTATAGTTTGCTATTGTTTTGGTACTACCATTCACGACCATCACATCTAATCATTTGTTAACATCAGCTTTTGATACCATATAGATTGATTCGATGCAGTTTTAGTTTCCCCAAACTTTGAAGGTCTAATGACTATTAAGTTGCATTGAGTGAATCCTCATTCCTTCTCACTTAATTCTTAAATCTGATTGCTATATTAGTTTTAACATACATAATTAGAATATTGTTTGTATTTTAGTCTCACTCTTAACCATTATTGACTTTTTTTGGTAAAGTAAGAACTGAATTCATCCTAACGCATATTATGATTTTAAACATAAAGCATATTCTAATTCTATATGTTTTATTTCAAAAAAAAAAATTCTATATGTTAAGATAACACAAAAATTAGAGGTGGGAATTAAGTCAACCCCAATATTAGAGTCTATCTTGTCTAACAATTCATCGAAATACTCTCTAACCCTCCTCAAGTTTACCTAGCATGGCATGAGATACAATAATTCATGGTGCAATCATTTACTTCTCATCATCAATGATGGTTCAGGATTAAATAGACAAAGATTTAGCTAATGTTTGGTTGATGTCCTATATCAGGAAGATACAAGAGAAAACAACATAAAATTGATGATGTTTGGTGATTCAAAACATAAGACTAGATCCTAGTTATAGATTTGGACAAATTTGTTCCAAGTAAAATCATAGGACAAGCATGCAAAAAAATTACATTCTTTTTCCCGAAATTCTTTTGGCATAACTCAACTTAGTTGAGGATATGATATTTGGTTTGAGTGTGATCTTACTTAGCTCAGCGAACCACCTCGGATCCAGGCACAACTTAGCTTGAATTCCAAGCCATCCTACTTGGGAACAAACTTAATCTAGGTCATGCTGTCAAACCAGGCCACAATTTAGAATCATGACTGAGCATAACCAGATGATTCTCACAATCTTGGGCTTGGCCTGGGCAGGGTCTCATTGCATAGACTTAAGCACAACCTAGGTAGGATGAGGTACAATATTGAATTTGACTCGGGCATGACTTGGCTCGAGAGGTGACTCATAGGGACACAGTCTTACACCTACATATGATTTTGGCACAGGTAAGAATCCTTAACTAAGGCTGGGCAATTTGGCTCCAGGCACGATCCAACTAGCGCGTAGTCCAGACTTGGCACCCTTGCATCACTCGGCCTAAAACACGGTCATTAGTGCATTTTTTAGGTTAGGATACTTCAAACTTGAACCAAATGACTATTACATCTAGAGTACAGCTTGTCCAGTAAACTTCAATTTTTATTATAATTATTTACTATCTTGTCTTAGTTCCACGTGCACTAAATGCAAAACAAGTTTTATCTGACCCCTAACTGTTTGTTTATCGTTTCAAGTTGTTTATACCACTTATGCTGTAACATTATTAATTGCTATAAAAAGTAACAAAGAACATAATTTCTAGCAAGCCACTTGAGATTTTTCTCATATTTTCCTTAATTTTGGTATTCTAATTATTGGCACTCTTGAACACTTCAAATCAAATCTTATATATAGCTTGAGAATATTTGAATCTAGAAGCTACTCCTATGAAAAGAGGATTTCGTAACCAAACCAAATCTCTAAGGCACCATGTTAGTGGCTTAATACTCATCACAATTAGCTTCTCCGGAAAGTGATATCTTAAACTGAATGCTGATTTGCTTGTCAATTTTGAGCTTCTCATTTGACCTTCTTTACTTAGTGATTTGTCGTGGGTTATTTATTCTCTGGTTGGCTTACAGGGGAATTAATTGACCAGAAGAAGGAAAAAAGATTTTGTACCAAATAATGAACAAATTAAAGAAAGAATTAAATATTTGATGGACGGCTAATGTTCTGAATTTTATTCATGCATGTTTTTTGGGTTGTGCAGGTAACGTGATTCTCTTATGATCTTTTCTTACAGGGCATCAGAAAAAGAGGGAATTCTTTTTAGCTTTCCAGAGATGGTGACTGATTCCCATGAAACCTTGCAGCAAAAGAAATTGCCAAACCATGCAATGACTTGGAATTTTCAAAGTAGTACTTCCTTCCCCCTGAGTTTTGACATAAAGTGATGTTTGTAAAGTTCCAAATCAAAAGATTTTTTCATTTACCAGATGTCAAAGAGAACTTCAAATTTTCCTTTTTCTTCTTTTCCTTCCCCCCAAAAATTTATTTGAGAACAAAATATTTAAAGATTGAGGTTCTGACTCTTACGAACTCCCTTATGATCAGGAGAAAAAAAACACTTATTAATATTGGAAATACTGCTAACCCAATTTTCAAAGCCTCTTTTGAAATACTTAATTAGTAGCTCAGGTCTTTATGAAGTCCCTTAGGATTAGGATTAGGAGGAAAACACTTATTACTATTGGAAATACTTGTTAGTAGCTTAATTTTACTTTCTTTCTTTTCTAAAGTTGCTGTTTACTAATTGAGTTTATGTCCTTGTCTTTCTTTCTTTTTTTTTCAAAATCACCAATATATCCAGCTTTAACCTACTATTTGAGACACTGATTGAGAGAAGGGAATAAAACTCCCAAGAGAAGTTGGGATGAATTTCTCTTGATTTCTCTCTCTCTCTCTCTCTCTCTCTCTCTCTATATATATATACATACATACATCTATGTGCATGGATATATTATGTATGCATTATATGTATTATATATAATGAAGCAATAAATATAGGGCCATTATTGGTGTGTAAATCATATTCTAATAAAATATTAAAAGGGAGGAAAGCAAGGCCACACGTACTACTGATTGAACAACAGCGAAAGGAAAAACACAAAAGTACTTTACAACAATTTCCTCCCCCATTAAGCTAAATAGAATATAAACACCATCCAAAAGTTAATGCTGCCCCCCCCCCCCCCCGTCCCTCATGATTTCTAGGCGCATTGCCCGTCGTTTGTGCTCATTTTTCTTTTCAACTTTTTCAATTGCATTTGTAATTTGATAATTACTTTTTAAAAGAATAAATATCAACACTCTATGTTAGATTAAAAATTCTAATGTTGAATTTCTTTTTAATCTCATTTGGTTATTACAATTAAGTGAATGTAATTGTTATCTAATATCTTTTTTATTTAAAAACAATTCTATTAATGTATTAATAAATTAATTTTTATATTTTATTAAATTAAATGTTATAAATTATTAATGATTAGCCCATAATAATATATATGAAAGTAACAAGTTTTATTTTCAAGAAGGCAATGATTTTAACCACTGGGTTATCCGTACACGTGTTTTTTGGTTCATGAAATATAATTAGTATCAATTATACACATATATATATATATATATATATAATATCTTTAGGACCCAACAAGCAGCTCCAACTAGCTCTTGTGTATGTATATATATATATATATATATCTGCAAAGACATCTACATGTATCTTGTCTGTGTTTTCTCATATTAAAAAAAAAAAGAAAGTGTCATCTCTCTCTTTTCTCTCTGATCTACTCTGGTTATAATTACCTCCCTGTTTGGTTTCTGATAAAGATAGAGAGGCAAAAAAAATGGGAGCTCTTGATTATCTCTCCCACTTTTGCACTGTCCCCAGCACAAGAAGCAAACGCAAAGCAATGCAGGTACACTCTTTAGCTCATCTCTTTCACTTCCGCTCTCTCTCTCTCTCTCTCTCTCTCTCTCTCTCTCTCTCTCTCTCTCTCTCTCTCTCTCTCTCTCTCTCTCTGATACATCTCCATACCTGTTCTGTCAACTTGATCCCCAAAAGAAACCTTTTCTCTCTCTCTCTCTCTCTGGTTATTAACTCAAATCTTTTTAAGTTAAAGATTGATAAAAGTTATGGTTTTGTCAGACAGTGGAGATCAAAGTCAAAATGGACTGTGATGGCTGTGAAAGAAGAGTTAAACATGCTGTTAACACCATGAAAGGTTCTCTCTCTCTCTCTGTGTAAACTTCTTGTTTGCTGTCTGTAAAGGTTACTCTTGTAACTGTTAACTAACCATGTAGCGGAGTGGAGTACAACTATATACCCTTCAAGATTTTTCTATGCAAAAGACAAAAGAACATATATATATATATATATATATATATTTGTATATGTATGAGCACCTTTCAACTTCAAATCCATCCCCTCGCTACCAACTATCACTTATCTGAATGGTTTTTAAGCCTCTTCTTCTACAAAAAATTATAAATTTAAATGTTGGTTTTATTATATCAACTAATTGATGAAGGAATGTTTAGGTGTGAAATCAGTGGAGGTGAATCGAAAACAAAGTAGAGTAACAGTGAGCGGATATGTAGATCCAAACAAGGTGCTAAAGAGAATAAAGAGAACAGGGAAGAGAGCAGAGTTTTGGCCGTACATTCCTCAACATCTGGTTCACTATCCTTATGTCTCCGGCGTCTACGACAAGAGAGCTCCGGCCGGTTATGTCCGGAACTCTGCTCAGGCTTTTCCGGCGTCAAACACGGCCGAGGAAAACATGGTCTCACTCTTCAGTGACGATAATGTTAATGCATGTTCCATCATGTAATTAACTTATAAGCACTTACTTGTATTAAGTGCTTTTTAATTAGTTTTCATAGTTAAAAACAGATTCATCCTTTCAACGTAAATTTCTCTCTCCTTATGAGAGAAATGTTGTTATCTATCTAGATATTATTTAGGGTTTTAATATTTTCGGACATAGTATGTTTTATATTTGAGCATATACATATAAACATATATATATATATACACACATTATGAAGCGAAACCCATTAAGAATTGAAGAATGTTAGGTGTGTTTTTTTTGGTACATGGAACATGGATGAGAAAATAGTGCAAATAAAAGAGAAATTTAAATAAAAATTGTGCTATAATTTCAAGTCCATTTTATGTATAATTCTAAGTTACGATGTTTTTTTAATTCATTTTTAACATTTAGTAATACCCTTTGTTGGCCATATAATTAAATAATTAAATTAAAATTATAAATTATAAATAATATATATAATAAGAATATAATTTTTAAATTAAATATTTTTTTAATAAAAAATCATACATTTACTAATATACACGATACATAACTAACTAATTATAAAACAAAATAAAATAATTTTCAAACAATATAAAAATGAAATAATAAATAAAAATATATTCAAATTTAACCTACGATTTCTTTATAGAGAAATAAATATATTAAATATTAATTAATAACTTTTAAATGAAAATAAAATATTATTATACCAAAAAAGTTTTCTTTTTACTATTTTTTCTCAAAAAAAAAAGGTTTCTTTTACTTTTACTTTTACTCTTACTTTTACTTTTACTTACTTTTTGTAAGTTCTCAAAATCTTGGGTTCCTACTTAATTATCTCTAACTTAGTATCTATATAATTACTTTAAATGAAATAAAGTGAAAAAAATGTTCTAAAATAAAAATAATATTAAAAAATTACAAAATAAAAATAATGAAATTAATAGTAAAAATTGGATTACCCAAAAGTCACTAAGAAGATGACAGAAAGTAGATTTAACAACTGTTGTTTTATATATATATATATATATATATATATATGAGGGTATCTTAGAAAAAATATATTATTATAAAATATAACAGAATGAATATATGAAACAGTGTATAATAATTTAAAATTATTAAATTTATTCTTTATTTTAAAAATTATTATATACTTATAATTATTAATAAAATATGATAAATCAATCTCAGAGGCATACATGAAATTATTTGCTTATTACTTGATGCATGCATGTGTGGAGATAATTAGAATATATTAAGTAGCTAAGAAAAGTTTTATTAAAGAACGAATATATTTTTATTAATTAAATGATATATATCAATTATAATATAATATAAATAATTTTTAAACGAGAATATACACGAGAGCTCGATTCAAACTCGACCCGTAATTTTATGTAGAAAATTAAATAATAAATGGTAATTTTGTTTTTTTTTTTTGTAAAAAAAAACTTAATTAAAGGTGGAGTAGAGAATTATTTTGAGATGAAGG